CCCGTTCAACACAACAGGTAGCAATTTAATAACGCTAGTCTTAAGCAATGTTTTAGATATATATATTATAATATATTAGAGTTGTTAAATCATGACGTGAGAAGTGATTTGAGATATCCATTAAATCCAGTACTGTCCCTCCAGATTCGTCCTTTGCATCTCGTTTTATTTTTTATATTATTAAAATAGCCACTCTTTTTAGTGTTTCAGCAATGACATGATATAATTTATTCTGTCCTGATGATTCAAGCAGATCTGACTCTCACTTGAGTGCAAATCATTTATAGTTGCAATACAAGCACTCAAATTATCAAATAAATGCAATATGATATATCTATCTATGAATCTATATATCTATATTCTCCCGTTCAACACAACAGGTAGCAATTTAATAACGCTAGTCTTAAGCAATGTTTTAGATATATATATTATAATATATTAGAGTTGTTAAATCATGACGTGAGAAGTGATTTGAGATATCTAGACTTTAAATCATCTAAGTCAAGAAGCATCTAGCTTCTGCTGGTGGGGAGAAAAAAAAACTTTTTGCATTAAGTTTCCCATGAGACACAAATAATAATACATATCAAACCATATGGGAAAGCACATGCATTACAAACCTGTGGAAATGGTGAGCCAGGACGAAGTGATGTTAATTCACTGCGGATCTACAGTTTCAACAGCAGCTCCAGTAAACCAGTGCCAATGATCCTTTACATCTTTACATCGTACAAACGCAGCATTTCCGAGGTTATTAAGCTAAATACACGATGTGTTCATTTACCATTATGATTAACAGATCGCGTGTCGGCTTAATTTGATCGCTACGTAGCGCAAATTTGACTCCGTTGTGCGTATTCTGCGAGCATTAACCCAGCTACTGGAGAAGTCTCCACCCACAGCTATGACCGAGCTCAGACGAGAAAACCTCGCGAGATTTTATCGCCGCTAATCAGTCTGAAGTTTACATTCGTGTGTTATCGCGAGAGCATCGCAACAATCGAAAGCCATATGAGAGCACACAATGAAACACAAATAATAGGAAAATCATGTCCTTATTTGTGTATTTACTTAGTCAGATAACTTAACAAAATATTGTCTGACGGCACATGTAACCATATGCTGATTGATTTAAACTTTATAATAAACTTTACATTTATGCGAGTATAACTATAAATGGAACTTTATGAAGATTGTATGCTTGAGTGTATTGGCTATAAAGTAATACTAAATTAATACTATTAATGATTAAACTCTCGGGTGTGATTGTAATTTAGACATTCATTTTATCAACCAACTAATCAAAATAATAATATCCATATAAATTCCATAATGCCACAGGAATTGTGCTCTATAGTTGCTATAGATATTTGTCATATGAACACATATAAAAATTGTATGGCCTGACCAGGCTACTGATCTTCTTTGAATGACCTAAAATTATTTATGCCAGGATTTAAAGCAGCACTATGTAACTTTTTCTGAGTTCAGAATTTATAAATGTATATATTGAGCGATTACATCATGAATTCATCTTCGAAACCGCGGGCGGTAGATAGTGTCAAAAACCATTTACTCAATAATTAAGTGGAATGTGAAAATAAATTCTGAATTTAATATATGTTCCTCGCAGTGTTAAAACAGTGTGTACTATTGTAAAATAAACCTTCTTCTTTTCAAGAAACTGATGGTAATGCCTTGTATTCATGTGGCATTGACCCGCATCTCTCTCCAGTGAACTGCAATTTTATTACATCTTTGATAAGAGCCTTTGCAATTCCGTGTCTCAAGAACCAGGCTATTGACTGTTCTGCAACTGTAATCTATAACTCGATCAAATGTGTCACACTGCTGTGCTGATCGCTGTTCCAAATACATGTTTGTTCTACAATAGTTTCATGAATTATTCATAACTATGATTTCATACGGCCTGTAGGGTTTACTACTTGAATGGATGTGTTCCGCTAAAAAACGATGTTTTCTCAATCATGCCTATATATAGCCTAACACAGTTGCATAATGTGAAAGCATTTTTTTTTTATATGTGATGAAGGTGCAATGCATCATATATGGAGATACAAAGATAACAGAGGGTTAGGCTACTGTAAAAAGCTGAAAAGTTCAGTTGAATCATTTAACTCTGGATGCATTTGGACGCGATTTGCGCACGGTTTAGAAAGCTTGAAAAATTATGCCATTTCAGTTACGAGCAATATAAAAATAACTTTCAAATGGACCATACAAAATAGGTTCGCTTAAAAAAAAAAACCCTGTCAGAAAATGCAAAGTCCTCCACAATATAAAATCGTCCAGTGACTACAAGAATGCGGTCGTTTTGATATTAGAAATGCACTTAAAACCTAGAAAAGACAACAAGTTTGAAACGAATAACTATTTCCGCACCTTTAGAGTTACCACTGATTGGGCAAATACTTGTCACGTGATATTAAACGTTATAAATTATTTTCTTTTCTTTTCCTTTCTTTCTTTCTTTCTTTCT